CACGGACGGTAATACATGCCGCGGGCCCCTCGTCACATCCTTGCGGACGCAGCCGTGGCGCCATCCACCAACCAGAAAGGCTCCCCCTCGCACTCCTCTGCGCAACGCGGTCAACGGTTCGGTTCAGGGAATCCTCGCAACGCGTTGGTGCGGGCGTCGTCCAGGACCTCCCTTCGCCCGCTAATTTATCATGGCCCCTCTCGCGACGCCTCTGTCCCTACCACCAGTGTTGTTACCTGGCACGAAAGTTGGGGTACGACCTATAGAGACCAAAACAGACCGTGAGGACAACACTAGGACGGGTCAAATGCAGAGAAACCGTTTCGTTACATAGTACCTGTACTACGTAATCACAATAAGTAGAATCTTTTTTTTTTTTTTTTTTGCTATGTTTTCACCCCAGGTATAGTCGAACAGTTTACAACATGATAATCTCATAGCCAACCAGTCTTCACTGAAATTTAAAGGGGCCCTATAATGCTTTTTGGGGTTTCTCTTTCCTGTAGTGTGTTATACAGGTTTTTGTGCATGTAAATGGTCTCCAAAGGCTAATATCCCAAAGTTATCTCCAACACACACAACCTTTTTCAACATTAAAGCATGGAGAGATGTCACAGTAGAGGCACCAAATACAATTATGAAACCTCAAAATGAGCATAATAGGGCCCCTTTAATGTTGTTGCATCTTAACTGACCATTGATTGTGTTTCTTTCTTCAGGGGAATTTGGCTCTGTGATGGAAGGTCTGCTGACTCAGGAGGATTCTTGCCTCAAAGTCGCTGTCAAGACTATGAAGAGTGAGTAGACAGTTAAAGCACTCAGCAACCACCACAATGAATCCCTTCATCTTGAGAACAAGGGCAATTGGCGGAATAGCCCCTCGGGTCAACATTTTACAAGTTTTGGGGGACAAACATTTCATTTTTCAAACAGATATCTGGTGATATTGGCAGAAGAAACAGTTGACCCCACATTGGCTGTAATGCCAAAGTAAAGTTAAGATTAGAAGATTAATTTTAAGGGAGAAAACATTGGGGAAAACAGCCTCTTACAGTATGTGAGCCAGTTTCAATCTGTAGCAACGCAGTTAAAACAAACTGAAACATGTATTAAAGCAGAGTTTAATACATTTAGGAGCCAAAATACCCTTGGAAAAAAAGTTTATTTCTTACCTTGGCAACTTCACAGCCTTGCAGCAGTGCCATGAGCTATAGAAAACCCACATGTTCTCACCTTTGCACGTCTCCTCCACAGTCGCTATCTGTACCCGCTCAGAGATGGAAGACTTTCTCCGAGAGGCCGCCTGTATGAAGGAGTTTGACCACGCCAACGTCATGAGGCTTCTAGGTGAGACAGGAGTCATGCTGCCGAGCACTTCAAGAACCGACACAGAAACACTGGAGATTAACACATTTAAAGTTTAAAATTAAATTTAAAGAAAAGCAATTAGCATGTGTCTTCCACAAAACAACTATTACGTTTTTTGATGAATATCTCAAAACCTTGGCGAACAAACTTTAAATATGCCCATAACTAAACACAACTGTCTTTAAAGGTCTTTGAAATTAGGTGTCATTAAAGTCACTCCATTTTAGAATGAAATAAAATGAAAGATAAATTATTAAAATATATAGAATGCATAATCTGTATATAACATAAGAAGTTACAGTAAGAATGTGCAATAAATAAATAATAAAATAAATGTATTCAAACAATAGTTGTTGCAGTATAATGTCCAATAAGAGATACATAAATAAAATAGGAAAGAAAAAATTATATAAACATACGTAGTTAAAGGTAGGGTAGGTAAAGGTCACTTCAGAAACAATTTCTGTTATATTCCATGTAATGCTCTTAACATCACGATAGCAATGAATATCTGAAATGCTTTGACAATAAATACATAGAAAAATGTCATCTGTGGAAGCCGTGGTGCTGCACGACCAATTATTTTAGGCCCGGCTAAAATAACTGGATGGCCTACCTGCCTGTCAGCCTTCCATCTGTGCACAAACTTATCTCGTGCCCTCATTGGTCATGTGCGCGTTCGTGTGTGTTGGAGGAGGGGCTCTGTAAGGAAGTTTGAAGGAAGGGGCAGATTTTTTTCGGCTGGCTACTTTCAAATTCTAGCGCACTCGAGCTGGTTTCTCCATTCTTAACTACCCTACCTTTAATGTTAATATGAAGTTAATTTAAGACTGAGCTGCTTACTTTATTATGCATAAAGTCGTGTTTAATTACAGGAACTGGATGTATTATATACAGGGCCGGCTCTAGACAATTTGCAGCCCTAGGTGAGATTTGAGCTGGGGCCCCAGCCAGAGAATCGTACAATAGAAAATATAAAGATCAATAGAGTATCCAAGGAACACACAATGGAATGGGGGATGGACGTCACATCCTGTAGGGGGGTCCGGGGTTATGCCCCCCGGGAAGAATGTTTTGAACATTTTAAAGTAAAATGCTTCAATCTGGTGCACTTTGAGCAGATTTACTACTAGATCTAGGGGGTACAACTCTAAACACCCATATGAAAAAGATCGGTTTACATTTCATTAATCAAATAAGTATGTGAACATAACCAATAACCTACCATAGCCAATAACAAATAAATGTAACTTATTTTATTTTTGTTGTTCTTTCATATCTTATTTGACCTATTAACATTTATTTATTTGTGTATATTTTTTAATCTCTCCAGTTTAAAACAATATTTTTGGTTTACTGTCCTATAGCATACATTGAAATGAGTTCATACCTGTTTATCCCAATAATTATAATGGGGTGCTTTGGATATTTGTTTACATAAATTGTGATCAAACCGTTTGAGACCCACTGAGATAACTTAGACTAAAGTGAACTATCTAAACACTCAGAGTCCTTTACCTCACTGAGCTGTAGTTATCAGCCTCTCCTGACTGGAGAGGACTCTCCCTCCACATTATTGTAGAAACATCTTCTTCTTATATCCGTTAGAGCAGCTAGCACCAGATGCTAATAACAACTGCGCCGGTACCGGTGCACCCTCTCTCCCTCTCTCTCCTCTCTCTCCCTCTCTCTCCCTCGCTCACTCGCACTTTGGCTGTGAGCTGCGGGTGCCAGATAAGCCAACATCCCCCATTTTCATCACTTACAGCGCCCATCGTACAGGGCAAATGAAACGTGTAACCGGGGTGAAAAGGGTGTTACATTTACTTAATTATGAATGTTGTTAGATCAAGGCCGAAAATTAGGATGAGCACCAACGGTCAAAAATGTTTTTCTACCAGCGCAGCGCCTCCCCAGATCTGGCGCCCTAGGCGAACATCTATAACGCCAGTGCTCCCGGCCGGCCCTGGCAATAGGACTCAAAGGAACTGAACTCATGCTGTTTAATACAGGCCTCATTTTCATGTCCTCCTAAAGAGGGTACAACATGAATGGCTGTGTCTTAGGCGAGGAAAACGTACTTTAAAGATGATTTTCTTGCCATTAATATGTTGGATTTTAAGTTTAAGATATAATTCATCATCAGGACGCTGCAACTGAAACGTTTGAATCAGTTAATTTACATGATTGATTTGCTTAAACGTGTTAAATCCATGCTGCTGTGTGTGCAGGACTTCCTACCGGCGCTCAGGGATCTTATCCACCAGGATCGCTCGCAACAAGTGGCAGTCTCTGGAGCGGAGGATCACTGACGTCATCATGCAGAGGATGACCATCTCCAACATGGAGGCCGACATGAACCGCCTCCTCAAGGTAACGCTACCACAGTTATATTTTAAAATGTCTGGATCTATCATATTATTGATCTCTCTAGATATAGCGTTTTATTACAGTATTAAAGTAGGATGATGAGTTGAATTGTGTCATCTATGAAGGTAGGCAAACCAAAAATCCCCTCCGTCTTCAAAACATAAAACAGGGTGTCCGCGGGGTCTTAAAAAGTATTAAAAGTTGATAAATCAATTTAGTGAAAATGAAGGCTATTAAAAAGTATGAAATGGCATTTTCCAAGGTATTACATTTTGTAGCTTGTTTTCAATAAGTATATCAATTGTCCAAAGAGGTTGTATTCTACAGTCTGCCTGAATGTAATCATTGCGTAGGTGTGTAGTGTGATTCTGTGTAGTTTATGTATGGCATCCCGTTGGATTTGACGTCATCTGAACAGGACATCGCACGCTCACTGCTTTATAGCACGAAGGTCCGTTTACGCCGGTTGTTAAACAACATCGTTATGGGGAAATGCAAGTTTGCATCTC